ATAAATTTGAAAAAAACTAATTGTTGCTATTAGAAAAAATCATAAATTTGATTTGAAGGGTAAAATTAAAAACTGTAAAAACTTGGATCCGACAAGTTTCATATTACTATTTTATTCATTATTATTAATATTATTAGATTTAAAAAAAATATTATTTCTATAAAAAAAATATTGATTTGATTTGAAGGATAAAATTAAAAATTATTATTGTTATTGTCGTCATTGTTATCATTATTATTAATATTATTAATATAATTATTAATAAAAAAAATTAAAAAATTATTAATATTGAAGAAATACCATAAATTTGTTTCGAAGGGTAAAATTAAAAATTATAAGAATTTGGGTCGGACCTGTTTAATATTATAAAGATTATTATTTTCATCATTCTTAATACTATTCGTGTAATTATGTATAAATTTGAAAAAAAATAACTGTTGCTATTAGAAAAAACCATAAATTTGATTTGAAGGGTAAAATTAAAAATTATTATTATTGTTGTTGTTGTTGTTAATATTATTCATATAATTATGTGTAAATTTGAAGAAAATAATTATTTCTATTGAAAAGAAACAATAAATTTAATTTAAGGGGTAAAATTAAAAATTATTATTAATAAATATAAAAAACATATTATTGCTATTAGAAAAAATAGAAATAAGATCACATCTAGATTTGGCACGACTACACCATAAGAACTAAGATCTAGCAAGGGCATTAGATCTAGGTAGCTCAAGTCTCAAAATGACCGTCAAACCTAAGTTTTTTTTAAAAATATTTTCCAAAATTCAATTATCTTTTTTACATTTTAAAAAAATTATTATTGATATAATGTGAAGCGCGAGTCAATACACCAGTGACATATAAAAAAATAACGGTAAATTACAATATCACATAATTTACTCATTTTTTTTACTTTGTTTGTATTTTTTAAAAAATTATTGTTTATATTCTAGAATTTGTAAATTTATAATACTTTACATTATAACTTTGACACATAGAAAAAAAAGATTATTTACATGATTATCATCACATTTCAATTAATAAACTTTTAAAAATATTTTCTAAAATTCAATTATCTTTTTTACATTTAAAAAAAATTATTATTGATATAATGTGAAGCGCGAGTCAATACACCAGTGACATATAAAAAAATAACGGTAAATTACAATATCACATAATTTACTCATTTTTTTTACTTTGTTTGTATTTTTTAAAAAATTATTGTTTATATTCTAGAATTTGTAAATTTATAATACTTTACATTATAACTTTGACACATAAAAAAAAAGATTATTTACATGATTATCATCACATTTCAATTAATAAATAAAGAGATTTTATATTAAATATTACAACTTTATTATTGAATTTTTTTAAAAAAAAAACACGGCAACAACCCTCACCCTCTTTTCCTTTCTTTTTTGTTAGACTACCTAGA